TTTTTTTTTGGATCCAGTCTATTTGGTGTTCTCTAAGCTTCTTGTATCTTCATAGGCATATCTTTCTTTAGGTTGGAAAAGTTTTCTTCTATGATTTTGTAAATAAATTTTCTTTGCCTTTGAGTTGAACTTCCTCTCTTTCTTCTCTACCTATTATTCTAAGATTTGGCCTTTTCATGGTGTCCCATGTTTCCTGTATATTTTGGGTTAAGCTTTTGTTAGATTTAATGTTTTCTTTAGCTGATGAGTCTATTTCCTCTGTTTTATCTTCAGCATTTGAGATTTCTCTCCCATTTCTTGTATTCTGCTGTTCATGCTTGCATTTGTGGTTCCTGATCCTTTTCTCATGATTTCTGTTTCTATAATTCCTTCGGCTTGTGTTTTCCTTTATTGTTTCTATATCAGTATTCAAGTCCTGAATAGTTTCTTTCATATGTTTGAGTTCTTTTTCTTAGTTTTCTTTAAGTGATTTGCTGATATCTTCCAATTTTTTGTCTTTTTTCCTTCATTTCTTTAAGTAAATCTCTCATTTTATCTTTAAGAATTTTAAACATTCTCTTGAGGTTAATTTTTAGATCATTTTCTTCTGGTTCATCCATATTTGGTTGTTCAGGTCTTACTTTTGTAGGGTCTTTAGGTTTTACTGGTATTGTGTTGCTCTTTGTGGTGTAGCGTGTGATCTTACCTTTTCTACTCATCTTTTTCTCTTATAGGTGTGGTTGGGGCTGTCTGAGATTCTGTTGAATAATCTTCTACGTGCCAGTGAATCGAAAGCTCAGATGGTTTTTCCTCCTGGTACAGTCAGTGTCACAGTTCTAGTTACCCCATTGGTTATTCCTGTTTCTGGAGGTAGCTCAGCATTCCTGTTCTTTGGTCTGCTCCATTGGAGTTTGCTGTCTCAGGCCTACTTTAGCCTAGGCTGCTGGCTTTGATCTGTTTCTGTAAATCCTGGTCTGGATCTCTTCCTGCAGAAGTCCCTGGCTTGGAGTTGGACCTGTTGTGGTGGAGATCGCTGACTCTGGATCTGGTCGTTTGCTCAATTCTGGTCTGCTAGTGTTCCAGGACTGGGTTTGCTTCCAGGTCACTGGCTCAGTCCTGATCTGCCCATCTCCCAGGACTGGGTCTGCTCCTGGTGGAGCTTGTTCTCTCTGTGTCTTAGGTAACTGGTTCAGTCCCACTCCGGTTCCCATGGAGCTCACAGACTCTGAGTCAGGTCGTTGGCCCATTCCTGGTCTACCAGTGTTCCTGGACTGGGTTGGCTCCCAGGACTGGATTTGCTCCTGGCTTCTGCTCCTGGTGGAGCTTGTTTCCTCAGGCCCCCTCTGTCCTAGGTCGAAAATTCAGCTTCTCATATAATTCATTAAAATTCCTAATGCAGGATTTTATAAGATGGTTATCAACTTCAACAAACTAAATTCCTGTAAATAAACAGGAGACAGAATGCCTCTTTTAAATATGTCTATATATTTCTTATGTATTGGTTTCAGACTAGCTCTGCTGATTTCTGCAAGGCCTTAGGCAGTGGGAGAGCTTTATCTGTGGTCATTGGAGAATTCGTTCCTCTGGGAATCGTGGAGATTAAATGTTGTGAAGAGGCGACAGACTGGGCAGGAGACATGAGATTATTATGTGAGAATCACCTCACTGTCCATAGGGAAACAGGGTAGACTCCTGGTGTGTTTGGCTTCTGTCAGCTTTGAAAAAGTGGCTGGAGCAAAAGAGGGCTCTAAGCCCTTTCCCTGGCTAGCCTGGAGAAGGCTTGTGTCACCAGGTAGCCTGCTGCATGCTGTTTCTAACAGGCAAGTGGACGCTGAAGGACTGGATGGACAGCTGATTTATTTTGCTGACTCACCCATCAGAAGCGTGGCTCTGAGCCAGACATTGGCTTCTAGGTTAAAGGCCAGAGCTGCAGAACTGCGGGGACTTGAAGGGGTGCTGGTATCATTGCCATGTAAGACCTGTGGTGAGAAGCCTGTTATTTCTCTTCCCTTTCAAGTGACCCTGATTCCGCTGTGCTCAGGGAGCTGTTGGACGCATTGCTCTGTGGAGTGTGGCAGGGGACTGGGAGCAGAGGGAGTACTACCACTGGGCACATCCTCTCGCTGCCCTCTAGCCCTGCCACGGCCTCAGCTGCCGTGGGGATACTGACCTGAGTATATCCTTGGGAATGCACATCCCACTCAGAAAGGATTATTTTGGGTGCTGTAGTGTAGACTTTCCAACCAAAGAGGAATTTCAGGGAGACGGTGCTGGTCATCACGCCACACAGCTCTGCAGACTGCGCTGCTGTGACGTAGAGTTGTGGTTATGAGCTCATGGATTGTTCACAATCCCTGCCACTTCTTGGGGAGGAGATGTTGCATAATATGAAAATTTCCTGATACTTTGAGGTATTTTTCCTCTTTTACTATAGAAAAGTACAATAAGCCTTTAAGTAAACTTCTGTATGTCTTAAAGAAGTTGATATTTTTTTAAAGTATATTAAATCTTTCTTTGTGGGTGGTGGCTATAGGGTGTGAATGAAGTACTTGTTAGTATGTGTCCATGTGCACATGGGTACTCACATATGTGGAAGCTGGGTGTCAACAGAGATGTTTCTTCCACCTTTGTGCTTTTGAGAAAGGATCCCCTTGTGAACCTGAAACTCAATGATTTGCCTAAGTTGGCCATGACCATGGCAACTCTTACAAAAGAAAAATTATTGAGGTAGGAGCTTATAGTTTCATAGATTCAGTCCATTATCATCATGACAAGGAGCATGGTGGTGTGCAGGCAGATGTGGTGCTGGCCGCCTCTTGACCAGAAGGCAGCAGGAAGTCTACTGACTGTCACACAAGACCCCAAAGACCCCTCCTACAGTGACACATGTCCTCCAGGAAGCCTGCGCCTCCTAATGGTGCCACTCCTTTTGGAGGCCATTTTCTTTCCATTCACCACACTGACAGAAGCGCCTCCTCATCCCTCTTTCTTATCTTAATATTTGGATGTCCAGATATTTCAAGTATGACTTGAAACAAACAATTGTACTGAGGAGTTTGGTCAAATCTGATCATTTTAAGATTTCAAAATATCGACCCTTGGCCGTGTGTAGCATCTGCCGCTTGCACTTCCTTTTCCTTTTCTTGAGGTTAAGGTTCCTGGTATGCCAGAGTCTCTTTTACTTCTTTTTTCCCAGGCAGGATCTTGTCCTGTCGACCAGATTGTCCTGAACTCACCATGTAGCATAGCTGGCCTTAGGCTGCCACTCCTCTGTCTTGGCCTCCTGAACGTGGGGTTACATGTTTGTGCCACCAAGCCTGGTCCATTGTCCAGTTCTCGCATACCCTGGGACTATATGTTCATCTGTCCCATCTGCCTTCTGCCTTCATGCATCCATTTATGCATCTACTATGAACTCTGCCAGGTACAGCTGAACAAACCGTGACTGCCATGTGCTGGTGCAGCTCCTTAGGTACCAAGACTACCCCAACAGCATGGCCAGGCTCCTCCCTCCTCCTCCTCCTTCTCCTCCTCCCCCCTCTTCTTATTATTATTAAGAATATTTAAATACAATCTTTTCTTATTTCTTCATTCCCACTCCCTTCCCTCCTTCCTCCTGCTTCCTCCACCTTCCCCTACCCCACCTCCCCATTTACTCCTCAGAAAGGGTAAGGCTTCCCATGGGGAGTCAGCAAAGTCTCACACTTCACTTTGAGGCAGGACCAAGGCCCTTCCCCTCTATATCTAGGTTGAGCAAGGTATCCCTCCAAAGAGAATGTGCTCCTAGATGCATGGCCAGGCTCTTATCTCCCTACAAGTATTAGAGGTGCTGATAGTGAGCAAGAAAAGCAGGTGAGCCACCACCCATTGTGATGGAGCCATTCACCCAGGACAGGCCTCCCATCTCCTCATTATCTCACTGCCACTTGTTCCGTCCTCTTCCTCAAAGAAGGAGCACATGGGTTTGGAACACAGGTAACCAGAGCAGCGCTCTGGGGAAGAGCACTTGCTGTGTGTGAGCCAGGCCCTGGGTTCTGTGCTCTGTAGTGCAAACCCAGAAACAAACAAAATCCCTGACCCACCCATTTGCACCAGCAGGGTGATATGTAGGGAACTGTGTGTGTGTGTGTGTGTGTGTGTGTGTGGCGGGGGGTCTTTAAAAGTGAAAGGTGAGTGAGGTAACATGAATTCCTGAGAAATGGGTTCGCCCAAAAAGGGCACACCTTTAATCCCAGCACTTGGGAGACAGAGGCAGACAGATCTCTGCGAGTTCTGTCTGGCCAACCTGATCTACAGAGTGAGTTCCAGGACAGCCAGGACTACACAGAGATATTCTGTCACCAAAAACCAAAAAATGTGTGTGTGTGTGGGGTAACTAGGCAAATGTCAGAGGTTGTAGAATTTAAGTGCAGGGCAGCACAAAGAGCCCTGGCATTTGGAGAACCTGGTGTTGTCTCTGTAGAGGGACCTGTAGGAGACCAGGCCGACTGGCCCTCTGGGGTCTATCTGCCCATCATGTCAGACTTTTTTTTTTTTTTTTTAAGTATCAGATCTGGGTATCTGAACTTAAGTTCTCATGCTTGTAAAGCAATCACTTTACTAAATGAGCTGTCTTCCCAGCCCTTGCTTCTCATTGTTCAAGGCATGAACTGTGGAACTCAAACAGTATCTCTGAAGCATTGACATAGTAGCCACACCAGTGTGCTGCGGCCTTTGTCACTACTTTATTTGTAATAGTGAGAATTTGCAGGTATTGCCTAATGACTGCTCGTTTACTCTTTCTTGCTCTGAAAACGAAGTTTTCAATCTATCTTGCTAGCTGTAAACACACCTGGGAAGTCAGTGTTCTGGTCATGCCTTTGCAGAACTTTCCTGTTTACAAAGTCCCTCACACTGAGGGAGACTTGTCACCATGTGAGAAGACCCAGCAGCTTCTGGACTAGGACTTCTTAGTCAGCATAGGCCACCTCTCCTAAGTACTGTCTTTATCTGATCTAAGGATTTCTTTCTCTTCTTTGTAGCTGTTAATACCAGCAAATACGCTGAAAGTTACCGGATCCAGACCTATGCTGAGTATGTGGGGAAGAAGCGGGAAGACAAGCAGGTCAAGAGGAAGTGGACAGAAGACAGCTGGAAGGAGGTGGACAGGAAGCAGCCAGGCCCCTGTTCCCACACCAACAGGTGAGCCCCTGGCTGTGCTGGGACTTGCACTGTCCCCGCGGTGGCCCTCTTGGTGCCTCCTTGATGAATAGGAGGAAAATACCTTTTATATTAATGTTGTAAAAAACTGATTATTGTTTAATTTTTTATTAGGTGCATCTTCATTTTGAGATAATCTTGGTTGCTCTTGAATTCGCAGACCTCTTTGGTGCTAGTTTTTTTTTGCATTGTCTTACGAGTATTCCAGTTTGTTACATTTGAGAGGTTATATAGACCCTAGACTTTTTCACTAACTCTCCAACAACACCATTAAGACATACAGGAGGTATTCTATTCCAATCTTATGAGTAAGGAAATGGAGGTTCAGGGCCTGGTCGGCAATGCGAGAGGCCAGGGTAGAGCTGCTCCTGCTGGTATTTGCCTCTACCTTTGCCGAGGCACCAAGACTAGAGAACCTTGACCTAGCAAGCCTAAGACCCTGAGTTCATTCCCCAGCCCCAAAAATAAGTAGGCAGAGAGATTCATAGAAAAAGATTAGTTTACCTTACCCTTTTTGGTTTAGCTTTGGGTCTGGAATTATGTAGTATTGTCCTTGCCTTTTCTTTAAAAGAAAGAAAGAAAGAAAGAAAGAAAGAAAGAAAAAGATAAAGATAAACCTTGTTTCTGGGATTTGCTCTTATGCGTGTTGATTTGGTGGGGGGGGCTGTTTGCTGTGAATACGTATGTGTCAACATGTTTTCCTTCCTCTTGAGTGAGTGAGTAGAAGGAGGATTATGGAATGGGTGTATGACATTTATGTGTTTGTTAAGCTTTAAGCTTTGGAGAAACAAAAACAATCTCTGAAGTGGCTGTGCCATTTTACAGCCCACCAGTAATGTGTGACTTCAGTGCTTCATACACTTGCCAACATGTACTGCTGTCTGCTAGTTTTAGCTACTCTGCTTCTCTCTCGTGACTAATGGGGTGACCCATCTTTTGTTTTTGCAGTGCTAAGAATGTAGTCAGCTCTGTTTAGCTGCACCTCTAGCCCTGGCTACCTTTTTAATGTGCTTATTGGCCATTCAGGTATTCCTTTTTAGAGGCTTATTGTCATACCCCTTGGAAAATGTTGGCTGTTGATTCGAAGTATTCTGGATCAGAAATGTATGCTGAACAGTTATATTTGAGGATTGATTTGCTTATTCACTTTTTTGTAGTGATCTCTCTCTTTTGGGGGTTTCTCTGTAGTGTTGTATGATGTTTTGCTCTTTTGACTTTTGTGGGGCCCACCACCCAGCTACCACATAAATCACACACAGGAGGCTTATTCTTAGTTATGAATGCCCGACCTTAGCTTGGCTTGTTTCTTTCCAGCTTTTCTTTTTTTATTTTTTTTTCTTTCCAGCTTTTCTAACTTAAATTATTCCGACTACTTTTGCCTCTGGGCTTTTTCCTTTTCCTACTTCTGTACATCACTCTTACTCTGTGGCTGGCTGGCCTCTGATGTCCTCCTCCCCTTGTTCTCTTGTTGCTCCTCCTCTCTCCACATTTCTCTTCCTGTTGAGACTCTGCCTGCCAGCCCTGCCTGTCCTTTCTCCTGCCTTGCTATTGGCTGTTTGACTTTATTAGGACCATGAGGTGTTTTAGACAAGCAAAGAATCACAGCTTCACAGAGTTAAACAAGTACAGCATAAACAAAAATTATACATCTTTACATCGTTAAACAAGTGTTCCACAGTATAAACACAAAAGTAACACACCTTAAAATAATATGCACCAACAGTGTAGCCCTGGCTCTCTTGGAACTCACTCTGTAGACCACGTGGCCCTGAACTTAGAGATCTGTCTGCCTCTATCTCCTGATCTCCTGAGTGCTGAGATTAAAAGTGTGTGCCACCACCACATGACTCTTTAATGATACCTCTTAATTTTGGTGATTGTGATAATTTGAATGATAGTGCTTCCCATAAGCTCTGCCATTTGAGTGCTTGGTCCTCAGTTGGTGATTTCGTCTGAGGTATGACCTTGCTGGAGGAAGTGTGACACTTTTGGAGGCTTTGAGGTAGCAAAGAATTGTACCATTCCCAGTTTGCTCTCTGATTCTTGCTTGAGTCTTAAGGTGTGAGCTCTTAGCTTATTGCTCCAGCCATCGTGGCTACCTGTCGCCACACTTCCCCATGTGTGAGCACCCAGCAATGTGAGTAATCTACCTGCGATCTAGAGAGAGGCAAAAGGTACTTGACACTTGGGAAAGGAAGAGGCTAGATACCAACAGGAGCAGCTGTAATCCTGGCCTCTCACTGTGTTGCTGGTCATCTGAACCTCCGTTTCCTAAAATGGTGTGGACTCTGGTTCCTCTAGGTCCATAAATAAACAAACACTTTTTCTGTCAGTGTCCTGGGCCTGGTGTTTAAATCACAACAGAAAAGACTGGTAATGTGATGGTCTGCTTATGGCTTTTGTTTTTCTTTTATAGTTAGATTTTTTTTTTCCTTGAAAATGTTTGTTTACCCTAAGGTAGTCATGATTTTATTCATGCTTTCTTTTGGAGGGTTTGTTGTTTTTGCTTTTCTACTTGGGTTGTGGTCCATTTCAAATAAATTTTGATTATGTCATGAAATGATGGGGTTCTTACATGCCTTCCAAGAGCTTGTGTTTTGAAGGTTTGCTCTCACCTGGTGATGCTGTAGGGAGAAGGTTGGCACTTTAGGAGTGGGGCCTGTTTAGAGGGTGTAAGTCATTGGGGAAATGCCCTTCAAAGGGATTCTAGGAGCTGCTGTCCCTTCCTTCTGCTTCTGGGTCAGTCACTATGACGTGAGCAGCTTTACTGCATCAAGTGCTCCTGCTGTTGGTCCTGTACCACCACGAGTCTAAGCCATGGGCCAGGCGGCCAGCGCTGAGACTCCTGATACTGTCTCCTTTCGTCCTAGACTTGTTCATCTCAGGGGTTCTGTCTCACTGAGAAGCTGACTAATGTATGGAGGTTAGTTAAGGGTTAGTGTTTCCCATATGACTTCCTGGTTGTTATTCTAGTATTTGTTCTAAAGAATACAAAACAAAGTGGGGAGTCTGGAGAGAGACTCCGTGGTTCAGAGTACTTGCTGCGTGTGCAGAGGACCCACGTTCAGTTCCCAGCACCCATATGGTGGCTCACAGACACCTCTAACTCCAGTTCCAGGGCTCTAATGCTATTTGCTGGCCTCAGTGGGCATTATATGCACATACAGACAAGCAGACAGAAACATGTATACATAAATAACAATTAAAATAGAACCCCAGACAAAACAGAAAAGCCACTAAACTCTTCCTGACTCAGTAGATTGACTCACCACCTTTATGGAAAATATCTCTTTTCTGCTCCATTCTCTCTTTTCTTCTGCAGATCCTAAGCTGCCTCATTTCTGTGACTTCCTAACAAGGCTTAACTTCAGCTAACACCCAGGCTTTACCTTTGGCCTTTGTTTATTCCTTTAAACAAATTTATACTGATAATTTCAATTTTTATAGTGGCCATCTATATATTTTATTTTTTGTGTTTTGTATTTTTAATACATTAATAATTTAAGGCCAGGCAGTGGTGGCGCATGCCTTTAATCCCAGCACTTGGGAGGCAGAGGCAAGTGGATCTCTGAGTTCGAGGCCAGCCTGGTCTACAAGAGCTAGTTCCAGGGCAAGCTCCAAAGCTACAGAGAAACCCTGTCTTGAAAAAACAAAAAACAAACAAATAAAACTGACATGGTGATGAATGACACACATACATGTCTTGCGTTTTCTATTTTTGATTGTTGGAGGTTTATCTTCTGAACTGTTAGAAGCAGGCTCTTTGACTTGAACGGTATCCATGTGTTGTTTTGTTAGGTGCCCCCCCTCCCTGGCAGGGATGCTGCACTGTTATCTGCATGCACATGCGTGCCCATCCCCATGGTCTCACAGGGCAGAGCACATGTGTGTGGGTATTTTTGCTAATCTAGTAGTGAGAAACTACATCTCAGCATTGCACTTTTGCATTATGGACATGTTTAAGGAGTATGGGCATATGTGTGTTTCTTCTTTTACATTTAGTTTCTTCCATTTGAGTACTTCACATGCCTTTGTGGTGTGTGTGATCAGTATTTTATCCTGCTTTATTGTTTTTCTTTTTTGCTTTGCTCACAGACTGCCATATATAAGATTTTTATATTCAGACTTATCAATCTTGACTGATCTGGGTGGCAACTCATACAAGGAAAACATGTTCCATACCTAGGCTGCTGAAATTCCCCAGGTTTTCTTTTAGTACTTCCGTCCTTACATTTCTCAGTGTGAAGAAAGCCTTCCATTTGTCTTTTTCTACTCATCTTCACAGCAATGTAAGAAAGTCCATCTTTGCTGAAACAATTTGTGTCCGTTCACACACAAAAAATAACACAGATAAAGCTGTGGTAGGTTTTGCATAGTGGTACGTATAAATGATTCCAGCACTCAGTAAGGCGAGGCAGAGGGAGGCAGAGTGCAAGGCCATCTTGGCTTACACATTAAGAGACTGTCTCAGAAAGCAAGGATATAATACCTTTGAGTATTTTTGTTGTTTTAAATGTTAGATAATTTCAGAAAATTTAGGCTGTTCAGAAACTAAATCATTAGGACCATCCCATGCTGCAGAGGGAGAAGGCATGGACATTCTCTCTGGGCTCTGAGTTGTGAGGGCTGGTGTTCTCTGGGACATAATGTTTAACAAAAATTTAGCTGGATCTTTTAAAGTCATTCACCTTTAATCTCAGTACACAGGAGGCAGAGGCAGGTGGATCTCTGAGTTCAAGGCCAGTGTGGTCTAAAGAGCTAGTTCCAAGATAACCAGAGCTACACAGAGAAACCCTGTTCCAATAAAACAAAACAAAATCATAAAGCACAATGCTCAGAAACAGACCCAAATATTCACAGACATCTAGTATGTGATAGAAGCAGTATCAACAACATGAAGGTAAGGGCTGTCAGCTTTTTCTTTCTGTCAGAAGGAGCTCCAGCTATTGGGCCTTGTGGTAGGTGCCATTACCTGCTGATCCCTCTCCCTGCCACAATTAAAAACAAAAGCACTGTCCATGTAGTAGAGGAGAAGCAAGAGACCAGCCTTATGAGGCCAGGGCTGGCATGAGCCTCACACGGGGGCATGGTCTAGAGGGCTCCTGTGACCCTGCTCACACAGGAATGGTCTATATGGCTGTGACCCTGCTCACACGGGGGGGGGGGATGGGACAACAGTCTAGAGGGCTGCTGTGACCCTGCTCACAGGGTGGGGGTGGGGGGGACAGTCTAGAGTGACTGTCAAGTGCCGAGGAGATAGGAGGAACATGGAGGAGGAGCAGTTAGCCGCCACATGGTTGACTTGAGTATCTGTCGGTGTCACCTCTAGGAGTCTAATAGGAATGAGGTTAGCTCTCGAGTCCTCTCACCCAGCTCTCTCTACTTGAAGGTGTCCCTTAAATGGAATCCTTTGTTTTTGTTTTTTAATATTTTTCATCACTTAAAAAAAATCTATTTATAAGATACATTTCAAGAAGACAAGACTTGTTGGTCATATGGTTTAGCTTTCATTAAGTCCATATCAGGGAATATATTTTTTAAAAGAAAAATCAGACCTATAATCTAGTTTGATTCAATATGTCAAATCCTATGAAGTCTTAGACGTAGCACAAAAAATAAAAACTCAGAGTCAGATATTGGGGTTTAACCCAAAAACCAGAAAAGCAAAGCAGCCAAACCATTAGAGAAGTCTTACCTCTACCAAGACTGGGCAACTTCAGACTAAGCCTCTCTCCTCCCATTTTATATTCCTCTACTGCTGGGATTAAAGGCATGTGACTCCCTAGTACTGGGATTAAAGATGTGAGCTGCCCGCCACCTGGATTTGTTTCTGCATTGATCTTGTATTGTACAGACCAGGGTGGCCTTGAACTCACAGAGAACCTTCTGCCTCTGTCTCCCAAATCCTGGCATTAAAGGTGTGTGCCACCACTGCCTGACCTCTAGTGACTTTAGCTTTGCCCTTTTGATCTTTAAGTAAGTTTTATTTATTAAAACATAAATAAAACATCACTATATTTAAAAACAAACACAAGTTTCAGTGTAAGCCTATTTTAGAAGAGCAGAGAATTACATGAAGGCAGGATGTGTTCTGCAGCTATCCAGGTTTCAAACCATGCAAGAGCAGCTGGAGCAGCAGTTGTTTCGTTCTCCTTTGCTTCATCTGCAGGTTCTGAAGGAGCTTTGTAGAAGCTCTGCTCCTTTTTCCTCTGGTGCCGTAGCTTTATCACGATGCAGCCAGGGTTTTTCTATAAAGGATTGCTAATGCTAAAACAGCCCAGCTTTGCACTGTGTACACAGCACCCTGTAGCGCCTGTGTCGTAGACTTCTATCATTGAGACATTTTGTTGGCCCTTCTTCCTGCTCCTAGCGCCACTCATGTTGTTCACCTGGTACATTGCAGCTTCACAGCAACTGGCGTGATTGGAAAGAGAAATCTGAGTCCTGACCCACAGGAAGCTGGCTCGGAGGACAGAGAATTGGAGGAGATAACTGACTCTGAACTTGACCAGATGGATTCCTGTGCAGACCCCCTCCCAGAGGGAAGGAAAAAGGCCAAGAAGCTAAAGAGATTAAAGAAAGGTCAGTATTTGTCTGGCTGAGTCTGACCAGGAGCTGCTTCAGGCTTCAGGAGGCTCTTATTTTGGGAGCAAAATTATAGCAGGCATTGAAGGCAGACCCCATGTGGTGTGCTGTCTCCTGGAGCATGAAAAGCAGCTCTAATTGCTGTGCTGGATTACTGGGCACAACTTATGGGAGGAAGGGCTTGTTCAGGCTCATGGCTTCTGAGGGGTTTCGGTTCAGCACGATGGCAGTGATGCTTCTGTGTGTGGGTAGAGCAGGAGGTGGTTGTACAGCAGGCTGTGCTTGTTTCGGTGGTGGCATACAGGAAGAGGAGGGATTCCACCAGCCAGACCCCACCTCTTAAAGGCTCCACAGCCTTCAGAAGTAGTACCACACGCTGGGGCTGAGTTTTCAGACATGAGCCGTTAAGAGACAAGCAATGATGTATTTTAATTTAAGAGGTTGTAACAAGCCCTGGAGCTGCACACAAAGCCTGATGAGGTCTCTCATGAGAGGTGGCCAGGCTGCTTTCATGATTCCCATCTCTACCGTATTATTCAAGGTGCTGCATGTATATCTCTGGTAGCCCCTGTGCTTAGGATGTACTTTTAGATTTACACAGCAGCAGCAACCGCTTGTGTTGAGTGTCAGGAACAAACCTGACACTTCCCAGGGACAATCTGGCCTCCTGACTTTCTTCACAAACAGAATTCTATAAGGAGCCACGGAAATGGGAACTTAGCAAGTGTTCAGAGCCTAGTGTTTGCCTGACTCCCTAGTGGGAGGTTTTTTTGTTATGTTTTGTTGTTTTGTTTTGTTTTGTTTTTGGTTTTTCAAGACAGGGTTTCTCTGTAGCTTTGGAGCCTGTTCCTGGAACTAGCTCTGTAGACCAGGCTGCCTGGCCTCGAACTCACAGAGATCCGCCTGCCTCTGCTTCCCGAGTGCTGGGATTAAAGGCGTGCGCCACCACTGCCCAGTGTGGGAGCCTTCTTACACTTGATTTTTAAGTTTTCACAAAAGCCTTGAAAGGGGAAAACATCACCCTTGGAGTGATCCAGACTCCAAACTCTGAGAAGTTAGGAAAGTGTGAAACGTGGAACTGGGGGACCAAGGCCTGCCTGAGCCAGCTGTGCCTTCTCCACCTCACACAGCCTCAAGCAGCCAGTGCACACACTCTAGAGCAAGGGCCTGGGTGTCTTCTCATCCCTGCTGTGCGGGGCGAGGAAGCAGGTGACACTACAGCACCTGTGGCTCTGCTCCCCGTGTGCATGTGGGACAGGCCTAACTGTTGGGCACTTCTGTGCTTAAAGCCTTCACTGTCTGCTTCATGGCTAGGAACATGGAGCATCTAAGAGTTTGCCCAAGGTCCCAGACTCCTTAAGTCTGCCCTGTAAGGAAGCTGGCTGCTACTCTCACCCAGGACCTGTTTATGTGTTCAGGATGAGGAGATACTGGCCTAGAAACAGTTGTTTTTCTTTGTGTTACTTGGGGACCGTGGCCCTGTTTGACAATCAAGAGTGGAATCAGAGCAGTGCTGGGCAGCAGGCTTGACTATGCTTTCCACCCTATGTGTATCCTGATCTGTAGTTTGCTGAATTTCATCAAAGTTAGCAAAAGTCACACAGAGTCAAATGTCTGCCTGACCCTTGTCTGCATGTGGTGCAGCTTCATTTTAGCAGCGACTGAAGTCCTGCTCGTCGTCCCTCATCCCTCCTCTACCCTCACCCTCTGGCTCGCCGTCCCTCATCCCTCCTCTACTCTCGTCACCCTCCGGCTCGCTGTCCCCCATCCCACTCCACCCTCCTCACCCTCCTGCTCGCCATCCTTCATCCCTCCTCCACCCTCATCACCCTCCTGCTCGCCATCCTTCATCCCTCCTCCACCCTCATCACTCTGCTCTCTAGAATAGTTGCCTTAAAAGACCAGGCTGGGCAGTGCCTACTTGGAATCACAGCATTTGGAAGACTAAGGCTGAGGGATCCCCATTACTTTAAGGCCAGTCTGGCCTATCCAGGGAGTCTGGGGCCACTCTGGGCTACAGACTGAGGCCAATTTCCAAATAAGTAAAACACATAATTATAGAATACATTAATAGATTGATTTCTTTTGTAGTTTTCATTTAAGCGAAAACTTTGTAATGGTTATTTAGGGTTTTAAACTTAGGATATTCTAATAAAATAGGTTTTTCTTTCCTCCCATTGAAGCAGTGTTGTCAGTGCTGAACAATGTGAACCAGAACAAAAGTAGATTTTGTACTTCTTCCTCAGTACTGTAGAAGACGCTTGATGTTGAATTGGAGGACGTGGGGAAGTAGGCTTTTTTCTGAAGCCTCCTGAGTACAGCCTCTGACTGCAAGGTGGAACTTGCTGGACCCTCCACCCTCTGGTTTAAGCACTCAGTCCTGTGTGTGTGCAAGCTAGGCCAAAGTAGTCAGGGGCTGAACCCGTTGAGTCAACTAGTCTTGTTGCTCACTTCTCTGAGTGAGACTGTCATGAGTGAGTGCAAGCTCACGCGTATGTTGAAGCCTCAGAGGCTCTGAAAATGCCAAGAGTGGAGCTTCTGCCAGTGGTGGGGCTGTAGGGAATGCTGGGGACCATGTGGCCCAGGGTCTCCCCGAGAGCTTTAGCACTCAGCTTTGTGGGCCTCAGCCACTGTGCTGCACAGATCTGATACTTAACAGGTGGGCCAGCCCCGGGGCTTTCTGCTTTTCAAAGAGTGTATAGCAGAAGCAGAACCACTGGGTGTGATACTGCACAGAGGCCACCCAGAATGGTGTCAGTGCCGCTGTAGAAACACTAGCAGTTAGCGACCAGATGCCTTCCTGTGTGACAAGAGCACTAAACAGCTGTTTGCTGGGTTCCTGTTGTGCCACAGGGCATCAGGATGTGTCTGCCCTCAGAACTTCTTTTGTTATCTGTCGGTTTCTGTAACCACATTAAGGCATGGAGGAGACAGGTTTGTGGAGTTCACTCGAGCAGTCCACGCCCAGAGTCTTGGCTCTGCCTGTGACAGGCTTGGATGCTTTCCATTAAGGACACTTTCTTCCTCAACGTAGTCCACAGGAGCCACACTAGACGCTGTGGCTCACATACCGATCCGCTGTGTTGGCTCTGCCACCCCTGCCAACTATCACACTGGCTGAAGTGGAAGAGTTTCTGACCTACAGGAAGCCTGTCTGTAACTGGCCCAGAGGAGGACTCAGCCTGCATCACTGCCTCTGCAAAAACCACAACTGTTCTTGCTGTCCTGGGACCCATGGTCCTCACTGGCCTGCTGCCTGGCATTTCTCCTGCGGGTACCAGCTGCGCTTCTCCTCATGGGAACTCAGGTTGTTGCAGCTTTAGTGAGGAGCTTAGTGCTTGCTCTAAACTCACCTCAGGTGGTTGGCCACCTTTCTATGTCTGTTCTTTCACCACTATCCTGGGGACATCAATGGCTACCTGGTGGGCTTTTATGAAGAATGTAAACTAAATGCCCAGCTTGGTTTGCAGCAGAGACTGCTGCTTACACAGTGAGAGGTGATGAAGCTCCCGCCTGTGAGCAAACAGAGGCAGCCTAAGCAGGCCAGGAGGTTCGCCACCTTCATGTGCGGGTCTAGTACCTTCCCGTGCACCAGTCCTTGCCTGCTTGTCTGGAGCTGTACACAGGGTGCTCTCAGTGCCAGCCAACAGTGTTCCCCTAGTGATTGCCCATGTCCTTAATCTGCTTCTCTTCCCCCCCAGGAACTGTTGCAGATAGCCCTGCCATGCTCTTCGAAGTCCCTGACACGTGGTAATAGAGACCAGAGTGGAGCACACTGAGCGTGCTGCTGCTGAGAGAGAGCTATTTGGAAGCCATACTGTATTCACTTAATCAGATGAGGCATGGGAGGGCTTAGAACCAAGTTTATTTCCTTTTTTGGCTATCTCTATCTTCCCGTTCCATCTAAACTGACCATTGGCACACGTCATGATTGAGGACTGTTGCAGGTGTGTGTGTTATTAACTAATTACTTCCTGCTCCTGGGAAACCTGTCTGGCCCCATGAGTGTTGGCAAGCCTGCCCGGGAAGGAAATCAGCTGTGAACCACGCCAGGAGAGCCAGCCTCCAGGGTGTTATGATCATACTCTCCGTTCAGCCTGTGGTGCCGTCACAGGTCATGGTCACTGACTCCCGACGAGTTAGTGGTTGTACCCTACTTCCCACCATCACTGCTTAGGAACAGCACACAGGCTCGTCCTTTCCATGCCGTCTTCCCGTGCTGACCCAGGGTCATCCCAGCAGATACCTGGGCTTTGAGAGCGTCCTTTCAGGTTACTTTCCCTCTGATGCAAGTCTCTCATGTGTGGGGTGTGTGGTGTGTGAGTGAGAAGCTGGCTTTTCTGTTCCTGTGCACAGTGCCAGATTCATGGTGAAGTGGATTCACCTGCTTGTCTTTACCGTGCATTTTTGTGTATCTGGTTACGTGTGTGTGTGTGTGTGTGTGTGTGTGTGTGTGTGTGTGTGTGCGCGCGCGCGCATGCGTGTGAGAGACAGTGGCAGAACTGCAGCATGCATCCAGCCCTCATGGGACAAGTTCCACAGTGGCAGAGCACCATGCACTCCTGCGGGACTCCATGGCCAACACTTCTGGACATGGAATGCTTTTGTATCATGAAAATAAAAATGAATTTCAAAAAGATGGAATTAAAGAAAATGTCATAAAAACCTGCCTTTAACTTTTTCTTTGAAGTGGTTGATGCATTTGCCCTCCAGCTCCCGTCATGGAGTCGCACAACTCTGTGTTCCCCAGCCTGAAGCTCCTCACCCTTCCCTTTCCCCCAGGGCTCTGCTGCCACAGACCTGGTAGGAAGGAGTGCCAGCCTTTCTAAGGCTTCAGTTGCCCAGCTCAGTTTGTGGGCTCCACTGAGTGCAAAGAGGAAACGGAGGGAGTAAGCCAGGGCTGTTGGCTCTGCTAAGTCATCAGACTTAAAGGTTAGAGACTAAGGATAGCCTTTTGGTTTGGTTTGGTTTGGTTTGGTTTGGTTTGGTTTGGAGTATAGAAAAGGGGACTCGGCTTCTTTTGCACTAGTCCAGCACGTTATCCCTGAGCTACATCCCAGCCTGACACTAATTTTAAAAAGGAAAAGAGAGACTGGAGATGTAGCTCAGTGCTAGCCTGGCACAGCTGAGGGAGATACATTATTTATGGGGCTGAATAGACAGTTCAGTGCCAACACTGCTCTTACCGCTTTATCAGAGGATCAGAGTTCAGACCCCAGCACCCACGACCAGGCAGCTCTCAGACACCTGTGACTGCAGGTTATCGAACGTCTCCCTCTGTCCAATGGGCACTGACACATTACACATACATATATGTATTAATACATCTTGAAAAAGTATAAAAACTGAAAAGGGGAAGCACAAAACACCATGAGCTGGCACGTCTGTGTACATGCACAGGTCTAATGTGGGGGCTTGTGTGGTTGTGAGAGCTCCCTGGTCCTGTGGAAATGGAGATCTTACATGAGAGGGAGACAGCTTCCTTATCCAGAGGTGAAGAATGTCTACACTGTGCCTGAAAACCCACTCAAGAATATTCACAGTACTCATTACTGGAAAAGCTCTGCCCATACACACAGACCCTGCCACTGTTCTAGAGAGCAGTTCATGGGGGTGAGATGTGTTTTCTAGACATGTGCTTCAGGGCCTCTTGTGGCTATGTTTGTGCCCCATTTCCAGCCCTGTCTTCCTGGACACATTTCTTTGCCCTCTGAGCCTCAGCCTTCTCTCCATAAAGTCAGGGTAATGAAACTCTCACAGAGTAGTTGTGAGCATAAATGCAAGTAAAACACCAAACACTCACAGGCATACAGGAAGACTGTGGTGGTGGTAGGTTGGGCTGTTGGTTTGAGTCCCCTACATGCCTCTCACTGAAGCTGACAGAGATACAGTTGCTGAGAATTTACCCTCTCCCTACACCCCCCTGAACTACTCTCTAGGCCGAGTGACACCTCCATAAAACCTAGGGCAGGCTTTTGGCACCCTCATGGCACCACCCAGAAGCATAGAGGCTGTGGGCTGTGATTGGGTGCTTCCTAAATGCTTTCACCAAGAGCCCTCAGGTGTGGGAATAGAGGATTCTGTGGTTCTCTGCATGTTTTAGAGTCCTTGGACTGACAAGCTGTAGTGGAAATCAAGCCCTTGCCTGTTTGTAGCTTTTTGTGTATTCATTGTCCCCCACTATCGTCTTGGGGAAATGGACAGGAATCTGTTTATTCACTTGAACTGTATATGGTTGCCATCTTGATATTCCATTTGTCTATCCATCTGCCTACACATCCATCCTCTATCACCCACCACCCATCCATCCACCAGTCTCCTTAGTTTTTGATGAATTTCTCATGCAGATGTTCATGTACAGGAATTTGAGGGTCGCCAAATAATGGGAAATTGGGGTATCCTTTGATGTTCTTAGTCTCATAAAAGAATTTAAGAATGAACTCTTTAAATAGGAGCTCAAGGAGAGTTTTATTAGACTAAAAAACAAATCCCAGGGCCGGCCAGCTGTTGCAACAGCTGTCCAGGAGGAGAATAAAGAGAATCAAGTCTCTTGGAGGGTGTACATGTAGCTGACAAGCAGACTTGGTGGGACAGCAAGGGAGAGAGTGAAGAAGTCCAGAGTGCCTGCAAGAGCATGTAGCGTGCTTCAGTTCTGGCCAGCTTTGCATACACAGGGAGACCTTCCAGTTGGGTGGGGATTCTGGGAGGGAAAATATCTCATTAAAAGAAAACTTACTCTGCTTCTTATTTGCATGGCTAATGACTGACCTGGCCCAATGGGATTGTTAGACTTCCCCAGGCAGAGATGCCACTCACCTGTCACTTCATCAGCACTTGTGTGTGCCGTTGGCCAGTTAGTAGCTCTTTGTATTCGGGGCCCTGGGGCAATCATACCTTGATTGAAATACTCAACTCTTACAGATACCATTGAATAGTTTTCCAATACTGCTGCCACAGAATTGTCCCTTGGGCCTCTTCTCCACCAACCCCATTCCACTCCCAACCTCAGAGGCAATCAGGATTGATCTTTTCAGTACAGATTCATCTCAGATTTTATGAGAACTGAATGAGAAAGTCTATACTCAAGGTCATATAAGCTCAGGGTAGGAGTGTAGGCCCATTGCTTGATTAACAGAATTTCATCTGAGAGTTTAGAAAACAGCAAGGAAGATGAGTTTTCTTTCAGCATAACATTTTTGGGATTTATCTATGGTGTGCATACAACAACTTCTCATTCATTCATTCATTCATTCAGGTTATGAGCATGTAGCCCAGGACCTTGTGATATTAGGTATCTTACCTCTGAGTTACCCCACCCCTCTGTAACATGAGGGCCTGCTTGTTGGGGTTTCTATCCTGCCCAGTACCCCACAGCCGGTAAGCCCCAAAGAAATTCACACAGAGTCTATATTAATGATAAACTGATTGGCCCATTGGCTCAGGCTTTGTATTAGCTCTTATATACCAGCCCATTATTCTGGTATATGTTAGCCACATGGCTCAGTACCTTTTTCAGCAGGATAGGTCATATCTTGCTTCTTCCATGGTCTGGGCAGGACTGGGGAGGAATGGGCTTTCTCCATCCCAGAATTCTCCTGTTCTCTTAACCTGCCTCTACTTTCTGTCTGGTTGTCCTGCCTATATTTCCTGCCTGGCTACTGGCCAACCAACATTTATTTAAAACACAATTGAGAGAATATAGACAATTCTCCCACACCACCCCTCTTTCTAATTTTGAATTATCTGTACCAATAGTTTATCTGTTCTCCACAAATACCTACATTATTTCCTGTTGCAGACTTTTGTAAATAAAATTCTTGTAAATATTCTGTACAAGTCCTTGATTTTTTTTCTTCAAAAAGCAGAATCTTTAACTGGGGGAAGGGAGATAAGTCCTGCCCAATTCCCACAGTCGTTAAGTTCCAAAGAAATCACATACAGATCTACATTAATTATAAACTCAGTATCTCTGGCTCTTCTTATTAACTAATTCTTATAATTATATTAGCCCATGTTTGTTGTCTATGTTGGACACGTGGCTTGGTACCTTTTTTGGTGAGGCAATCACATCTTGCTTCCTCTGTGGCTGGGTCACAATGGCAGACTGCACTTCCCTCTTCCCAGCATTCTCATTGCCCTGCCTCTACTTCCTACCTGGCTACTGGCCAATCAGCATTTTATTAAAAATAATACAAGTGTCAGGATAAAAGACCATTGTCCCACAGCACTTCCCCCTCCCTTTTTTTCAAAACAGCTCTGAACTGAATCACCCTTGTTTAGCTTTCTTCCTGACCATTACCCATAACAACTTGTAACCAACATTCTAAACAAAGGAAAATATCCATAGTCCATTTTGTGGGAATGTGAACATAGTTTTCCAGGCTACTTCCTGCTGATTGGGGATGCTGATAATCTTATGGAGACCTAAAGAAAATTTAGAATTATATGGTCAAGTCATGACTGGAGTATTCTGTGAGGCTTGATCATCTCAGGCAGCAGTCTTGAATCTGTTCTGGTTGTAGAACTCAAACATCTGGGCCATTCATTCCTACTGGAGATTTCGGGTGGTCTTCCTTGATCAAACCTGATTTTTCTTATTAAATAATTCTTATAATTTATATTAGCCCATATTTGTTGTCTATGTTAGCCACGTGGCTTGGTACCTTTTTCAGCAAGGCAGTCACATCTTGCTTCCTCTGTGGCTGGGTCATGAATGCAGAATGAGCTTCCCTCTTTTCAGCATTCTTGTCCTGCCTCTATTTCCTGCCTGGTTGTACCGCCTCTACTTTCTGCTTGGGCTACTGACCAATCAACATTTTATTAAAAATAATACAAGTGACAGGATAAAACCATTGTCTTACAGCAGTTGGGATGTACCAAGAAGGAGCTTATGTTAGATCTGCATGTCTTCTAAGAAATAGCTAGCATGCCCCAGATGTTCCATCTCCATCCCCTGTATTTATGTGAATGCTAGAGATCTGCACACACATTCTCATTGCTTACATGGCAAGTGCCCTGAGCCATCGCCCCAGCACACCCATGCTGTCACAAACCCCTGAAAAGTCCCAGGAGTTCCCTTGCCAACATTTGCTGGAACCACCCCCCCCCCCCCCCAGCCAGGTAGGCAACAAATGACTGTGTCATTCTTTTCTCTGATGCTGAGTGAGGTCTGTATTTTACCTGGTGATTTGTATCTCTTGTTAACTTGTAGGAGTTTACATATTCTCAATATCCATCCTTTGTCAAATATTCTGCAAATGTGTCATCCTAATGTGTGGCTTACAGCTCCCTTTAAAAAAAATGTGTATGCATGGGCTAGAGAGATGACTCAGAGGTTAAGATCACTAACTGCTCTTCCAAAGTCCTGAGTTCAATCCTGGGTTTTTGTGTTTTCATATGAAGTTGAGTGTTGTTCTTTCGAGGTCTGTGAAAATTTTTGCTGGGATTTTGATGGGCATTGCATTGAATCTATAGATTGCCTTTTGTAGGATTGCCATTTTTACTATATTAATCCTACATATCCAAAAGCATGGGAGATTTTCTGATGTCTTCTTTGATTTCTTTCTTCAAAGTTTTAAACTTCTTGATATACAGGTCTTTCACTTGTTTGATTAGACTTACCCAAGACATTTTATCTTATTTGTGGCTATTGTTAAGGGTGATGT